GGTGATACCCATGGCTATAAGTAGGGTAGCTGGCGTTAGTTCCAACGAGACAGCCACGTTGATGAAGTTATGACCTACTCACCTGATGTTCGTCGAACTTCCAGGTTGGACATTTTTAGGGACACTGTGGTGGCTCTTGTTCTTTACCTAGGTCCCCCAGTAGTGCCCTTTTACCCTTTTCTGGGGGAGGGTTCCCCTACTAAAATGGACTACAGAAAAAAAGTTGGTACCCTTATTCTAACCTGTCACCCTTTTTGGAGACAAGCCTCGCTAAACATCGAGTACAGAGTCGGTGCCCTTCTTGTTCCTATTGTTCTAGGGGTTGGTTCCCCATTCTTTTCAACCATCGTTCTTTTCGAAAACCGGATCCGTTTGCCCTGCAATTCGCCCAGATCAGCTTAGAGGACTTGTTTTACCGGCGAACCCCGAGCTGTGAGGGGCGCTTTCAGGCAAGCCGTTGCTATCCAAAGGACATTGTCATGTACACCCTCGAGGTCTGGAAACAACTCAGTGGTTCTCTGTGCGAACCGACCGGATCCGACCTTTTGGGTTTTCCCAGCTTGGTGTGTGCACGTACCTTTGACATATATCCACTTAGAGATTTTCTATGGGTTTCAAAAACCAGCTATTTTCCCTGGGTTTCTAGAGGTTTTCTAGAAAGAAGGATCACCTTTTTGTTCCAGGGTCTTTGGGCAACTTGTAGTTCCAGGGTCCATAGCTTTGGGCAACTGAGATAAAGGTTACTGAGTGTGAGAACTCGAAGCACTGGGGATGTAAGAGACCTCATGTGCGTCATTACTCAGCCCTTTGCATTTTTCAGGCAACCCTGAATTGGTGGTTTGCGTTGGGGGGGTGCCCTGCTTTCACAGTGTAAATGTGGAACTCACCCTTCCAAACCAATCCAAACCACTCAGTGGGAATCTGATTACCTGGTCGACCTTGTTGCCCTTCTGTCCTGCCTTGTTACTCCTTGTGGGTCCTTCGGGCAGAAAACACTTGGCTGTGGGCCAAAACCAATTGTACCATTTTGGTTGGTAGGTGAATTCACCACCCATTTTAGGCTTCTTATGTTCGTGGTTGGAGTTGGATGCAACCACTGGGGGCTAACCGATTTGGATTTTGACCCGTGGTCACTTGGGTCCAGGCACAACGGCCCCGCGCCTCCCCGAGCCTTCCCCGCGCCTTCCTTTTGCCGCGAGGGCACCGTCTCCCGCCCCGAAGCCGCCCGACGCCGGGCGCAGGCTGAAGGTGGAGCCACTCGGCGGCAAAAAACGTCCACGGGGTCTCTGTCTTGGTAGCTCCCAGCCATCCGGTTCCTTAGCTTTTTTGGGACTTTTAGTGCTTAGTGGTTGGGTTTTCATTTGACCCAGAAGTTCAACTTTTAGCAGGGGATCTGAGGGCAGATGTGAAGCTCAGTTGTTCAAAGCGAATCGACCTTTTCAGCGATGAAACAGTAAACATGACCCATAAGGGTTGGGCCAAGCCAAGCTTTGGGGTATTTTCCTTGTGAATCATCATTTTGGCGTGTTTCTTTTCAAGAAAGCCTTTTTGTGGTCGAAAAGGAACACAAAAGGAAGACACGCCCATGAGGCAAGCTTTGGTTTGCAGAGATTCGGATCCCTGGAAATGGAGAGGCTAGTAGAGTTGCCGAAAGGACCCGCAAAAGACCGATTCCTTTCTGCCCGGTCCCACAAGGAGTGCAAAGAATAACACATCGGTCCATTGGGAGTGCATAGATTCCTCTTGCAATCCGGCCACGGATTGGACAAATGGGATCCCCCACTTTAAGAACACAGACCTGTGGTTGCCAAGAGCTGATTTGTTTTTTTTGTTTTTTTGTGTGGGGGGGGGGGCCCCGCGTGTTGGGTGGTGTTCCATTTTTTACCCTTCAAACCATCCAAAACAAGAGGCGCCTCAAAAAACGACCCCTCCCCCCCCCATTTGTCCCAACCCATAAGCTAGGAATGGGCGCCATGGCTGCGAAATCCAGAAATCGCACCACGAAATGAAACCATGGCTGAAACCATATCGTTTGTTGGTATTCAAAAGGGAATCGAATCATAAACCAGGGTTTCTGAACGGTGGTGCGAAATGGCTTTCGTCCACTCAGAGTGGGACATTGTTCCTGTTTTCCTCTTGTTGATGATTTCACATTGGGCAGGTGTTTTGGGTGGCACAGAAGTGAGTTCCACAGGCTCTATAGTCTCAGTTTATGTGCAGGATTTGGCGGAAAGCTGTTATAATGTTGTCAACTATTCATATATGGGGTTGTCTCTAACTGCAGGAACCCCAGACAGAGTTTCTCTTTTCTTTCCAAGGTGATGTCTGAAACCCAAACTCAATATGCAGGTCGCTTACATTTGCCCAAATAGTGATGCATACCATCTTTGAAGATACCAGACTTAGCTTGCGGTTGTAGCTGTTTGCCTTTTTGGGTTTCCTTCATGTGTCCTTTCGACCAGACCCGCTGTGTTTTCCGTCTCCCCTGCCCTGCAACTGCCAGCTTGGGGCCTTTTATGTACCTCATGTTTGCCTTCTTAGATGCTCATCCTAGACCGGTATATTTACCATACCTGGAGTCTCCATGACCCTTAAAAAATGGGGTCAATACCCAAAATGATGGGGTCATTGACCCACCTTTTTAGGGTCATACGTAGACTCCGGGTAGCGATGCGGAAGCAGAAAGTTCTCAACTTTTTGCTGGGTGTCTAAGTCTGGCCCAGACAGGCTCCGGAGTATTTTGCCCGGCCCAGTGCAGTGCCTCCAGGCGCTTTTCACTATAGTAGCTAACCAGAAACAAAAAAAAACAATCCACGGCAAAAACCTACAGCTAAGAAACCCGAAGGGTTACCTACTATAGTGGCAAGCGCCTGGAAGCACTGAGCAAGGCTCCTCTAGTATAGGCAGAACCCTTGCCTCTCATTTGCTCAATAATATGTTTTACTTCCCTTGCTGGTTGTAAAAGGAATTTATCACTACTGGAAATATGTTTAAAAAAAGAGGAAAAACACACAAACAAATAAAAATCCTGGGGCCTTCTGGAATTAAATGGACCGCTCCATTTTGGGTCTTCACCAAATGGAAGTCGTCCTCCACGGGGCATCTTCCGAGGACCGGTCGCGACGCGGCGACGCCCAAGGAGCCCGCCGCGCGCCTTGGAAGCGGAAATCCTTCCCGGTGGACCCAGTTACCTGTATGGCCATGGGTCAAAGTCCAAATCGGTTAGCCCCCAGGAAACATCCCAATCCAACCACTAAAATAGGTAACCTAAAATGGGTGGTGAATTCACCTGGAGTCTCCTTCTGACCCTTAAAAAATGGTTGGTCATGACCCAAAATAATGGTTGGTCATGGACCCATGTTTATTTCGGGTCATGGAGAGTCGAGGTAGGGGTGCCTTCCATTTCCATTCTTAACCCAGGGATCCGGATCTTTTCGGGAAACCATGAAAAATTAAGGGAAACAGATCCGGTTTTTGAAAGGAACGATGGTTGAAAAGAATGGTTGGAATCAACCCCTAGATGTATAAGCAACCAAGGGCTTGCCACCCGATCAAAAAAGCCAAGCGGAAAAGAGCGAAGGGTTTCCTACCATGCTGGTAGCTGAGATCCACTAAACTTGTTTTGGCACTTTCTTGGCGGGGGGATTCTCACAAAGTCAGAAACTGGGGTTGTTTCCTTTTAGCCTGCAACTTAAGGACCAGATCAGTTCTGCCTACACAAAGAATCTTGGGCGTTTCCTGTGTTTATGCAAGGATGGACCTCCCCGCAGGAATGGGTTGTCGAGGTACGCGCCCGAACATCATTATGCTTAGCCCTTATAATACCCCGGTGTACACCAAATATGTAGAGTCTCTGTAGAGTAGTATCCTCGAAGGGGGAAGCGAAAATGTGGGGTGCGGCAACCCTAGGCAAAAGGACGTAGATATTGCCCTTGACAACTCATCTGACTACGTGACAGCGGCAAGTTGTTATTTGCCTTGAAGCTTGAGTTGAAGGACTCCTTGCCTTTTTGTTTGTTTGGATTGGTGGTTTGGTTGGAGTCCCAGTTCCTTTGAAGCCAAATGATGAAGCTACCCCCTAACCTCCAAACCGCCAAACAAAAACTACGAACTAAGCCACATGCAAAACCCGGGTACCAGATTGTGTCTCCCAGAGGTGAGAGTTGCCTTTTGTTTTTTTGCCGACGTGCCTGAAGGGAGCCCTTGGCATTTGCATGGGTCTTGGAGTCTTGGAGTTATGGATGCGTTTTTATACCACAAGCTCGCAACACAGCGTTTTTCCTCTTCTTTCGAGATGATTCGTGGCATTTTTGGAGAAACCCATGCGTCTACTACAAAAAAAACGCAACGCAGTGTATTCCCCTTATAGCGATGAGTTGTTTTGGGCTTCTCCTCCATGCCTCCCCTGGTTAAAAAGCGGGCTCCCGAAAAGAAAAAACGGCGCCTTTTTTGGAAGCCTCTGAGCCTAGGGCACCGGCTTTCCCTCGGATGGAAGTCTCGGAGGAGTCGGATCGAGTCACCTGTTCACCTTTTGGGCGGGCGATCGATTCGGTACGTCAGGGAAGTGGGTATGCCTGAGAAGCAGCACTCGCTTGGAAGACTACCCATAAGTGGGTTGGGGGAATGTGGACCCCATATTAGTTTGTGAATGGGTGGTGTTTTTGCTGGATGAAATGCGCGGGGACACTTCTTAAGCGTGGCAAGCCCTTGGTTACCGACTATACAGGTAAATGGTTCCACCGGGTATCACTTCTAGGTCCCCCAGTAGTGCCCCTTTTTGGGGGAGGGTTCCCTACTAAACTAGACTGGAGAACAAAGGGCACCCTTATTCTAACCTCTCTACTGGAGGACCTAGACTTTCTTTGACGCCAACAAAATCCCTTTGAAGTTGACAAGACTGTCCTCGGGGGCTTTCAACGCGCCGCAGAAGGCGGCTCCGTTTTGCTCCGATCTCGCGCGAGAAAAAAACACGCGGCACCGATCTGCGCCAGGAGGGTGGGATGGACTACACGCAGCTGCCTCACTTGCTGGATGCCAACTACTTGAAGTTTGATACGGAAGCAAAGCCCCGCGGCCGACCGATGCTTTTTCAACTAGGTCTCCCAGTAGTGCCCTTTCTCACCAACTTTTTTGGGGGAGGACTCCCCTACTAAAATAGACTACAGAAAAGAAGGTACCCTTATTTCTAACCTCTCTACTGGAGGACCTAGTTATTCAACGCACATGCAACACATGCAGCCACTCTGTCTACTTTACGGCGATCTCACCGATTCCGGGGGTACGAGCGAAAGCCATGACAAAGGTCCTTTTGGGGATCCCTGAACTCAGCTTTTCGAATTGTCAGACTGCACTGCCTCGACTCACCCAAAGTAAGGAGATACGCCTGTGCAGACCTTTCCAATGCTAGTGTGTTTGACTGCGAGTTGCAGCCCTGGGTCGTGAGTCTCAAATGCAGGCTCAGCATGCAATCATCGCCATGTATTTCGCCAGAGGATAGGGATATGCTCCACGTGGTTGAACTGGCTACCAGATGTTTGCTGCAAAATGCCAACTCAGGTCAATACTCATACCCGCACTCCTTAGGGCATTGAACGCTTTCGAAAGGCTTGGGATTCCCACGACGGCAGCGGGAGGGATCCGGAAGCAACAAGATCCCTCCGTATCTGTGGTCCACATCCAGCATTTCTCAGTGTTCTTGACAGTGTGTTTGCGTGTTTGTTTTCGTCGTCGTTTTTGGTTTTAAGCAAGGTCCTGTTCATTTTTAGCGGGGAGTGCTGCAACGAGCATGTCAAGCTTTGGACAGTGCTTCTTTGAGTCGCGGCATGCGTGCGCTTGCTTGGCTATGATGTTAGTGGGTAGTATTGTCGGTTGCCTCAGCTCATCCACGTCAATGCTGTCTACAAAGGGTCTCGAACCAAGAGCGAAAGTCAAAACCTAGGAAAAGATGAAGGTTGGTAGAGTCCCAGCTTGAAATGGTGGCGCCTTGCTAATGCGGTACATGGTTTTCAATAGTCCTCTTTCCCAGTTGATTGTGACTCAGGTGAAAGTATTTCCCTTAGCCAGAATCATTTTGATTGCCAGTCTACAGCTTGAGCTTCCTTGTTGGGGTGATGTAGGGGGGAAATACGGGAGTGTCTGAACATAAGGGAACCCCCAAAAATGTTTTTGTTTTTCCTCTAGGTTCCCTCCCAAAACGACCCAACAAAGGGTACTCAGGTGAGTTTGAAGGGATAAGCAGAACAAAACATGCTGCCTTCAGGCCGAGGTCCCGCCTTCCGGGAATGGTTGCCTCTTTCTCGATAGGGATGTGAACAGCCCGAAAGGTCGAACGTTTCACCTGGGATTTGGTCGAACAAAAGTGGGGCACCCTCCAAGAACGGGGCACCATCCCATAGGTTTGATCGGGGCTCACTTGGGCCATAATCAGAACCCGGGTTGACGCAGGTGAAGGGAGAATTCCAACCATAAACATGGTTGTCGTTGGGAAACATTTTACATTTTTGCTTATTGTGGTTTAGTGGGAAATCCCCACTTAACTGCTAAAAAGTAAATTGTTGCTCCCCTTCCAACGACAACCTAAACGGGTGTAGCCGCCTTATTTCTTGAAGCATGGCTCGGGGTAGACTATTTAGGACCAGAGTTTTTGATGACTCACTTGACCCTCCAACCTGCGAGGCTGATTGGCGCCGCAACCCAGAAATCTTGAAGGGTAGTTGGGTCCAGGAAAAACAAATACGCATCCCCTTTCGGGTGGCGGTGTCCAACTTTCAGCATGTTGGGTCCAGGTCACTTGAATGTCATTCAGTGGCTTAAGGACATGTTTTGTATTTGTTCCTCTTGCTTTTCAAGTGAATCTACCACCACTGAAACTACTGAAAGTATGTGTTGTGCGGAGGGCTTAAGCAAATGGAAGATTATTGTTCTATACTTGTTTGGGCAAGTTAGCAGTTGATGACCCAAGTTACAACCCGCTTATAAGTCCCCCTAAGTGTGGGGTTAACCTTCTTACAAGGGGGTGGACAACCCGAAGTGGATAACACTAATTTGGCAGAGCATTCAAGACGGAAACCACCTCAAAATTGTTTGGGGGGCATGAATCCCACCTCACAAAAGGTCCGGTTAGCTACTACTCACTTCCTGAGTTCCTGGACTTCAAACCTTTCGGGAAGACCATTTTGTGGCATACACAAAATGAGGGTACCTATTTTTGACCAAGCCACTCGTTCGGAAGTGAGACTATGCAGGAATTGTATTTCTAATCTTTCTACTGGAGGACCTGGATGCAGGTAAATGGCTCCACTGGGTCGCCGCAAAACAAAAACACAAAAATGTGGCTCGAGGCTTCGGCCCACCACCATCAAGCTTGGGCCTCTGTGGACCAAGCAGGCGCGACATCCACGCACGAAAGCGCGGTTTTCGCACGCGCCTAAAGCGCGGTTTTGGGGGGAGGTGGGTTTTTGTTTCTCCCTACGAATCGAAGGAACTTCTGAGCTTTAAAGCAGTCAGCCTTCGCGGTTTTGGGTTTTCGGGTTTTCCCTCTCAACTGATCGAAGCCTTCCCGCAGAGCGGGTTGGGGGAGGTGGCCCTGCAAGCTGCCAGGTAAGACTTTTGGGAGGAGGCAAAAGCAGGAGGATGAATTGTGCAGGAATGGGAAGGCCGTAAATCTGCGAGCGCACAAGTTGTTTTGTTAGTTGGTCAAAATAGGAGAACCAACCTCAAAAACGCTCAGCCAACCCTTTCAGCCAAAGGGAGTCAGACCACTTTTTGGACCCTAATAGGTTTATCGCTCCGGCATCAACATGCGGTGGGGCGCAAATACCCAAAGCGGAACCTTGGAAAATGGGAAAACCTGGGCTACCTGTAGTCCCCGGGTTTCATTTTGAGCCATGCCCATGAAGCAAATAGGCGACATTTTGATGTTCTGGGACTTCGCGAAATGGTTGATCATCCTGGTCTCGCGGACTTACAACCATGGTAAATGAGTTACAACTAGGGCTACTAGCCACTTAGCCATTCGTCCCAGACCATCTAAGTAGCCATCGCCATCGCCAAAGTGAGGCAAGTGGCCACTCGCTCGCGGCTAGGAGCAGCCGGGGTTCCTGGGGGCGCTGGAGAAACGTCAGCTGGATGCTGGGGCTCAGCGCACCGAGACGCAGCAGGCGAGATGAGCCACAATCAAAACCCGGCTTGATGCCAGTTGTTTTTTCGTTTTTTCCTCGAAAAAGGTACCTTCTGGGAGCCTCCATTTGGATGTTCACCCAGGTTAGGAAGTGGGTAGCCATTTGAGTCACAATCAGGGGATTGATGATCCGGTTAAGGGAGAATCTTCTTGCCTTTCGGGGATGGTCGCGAAATGCATTTGAGCCACTTGCTCAAACCCCGGGTAATTGGAGGGTAGCAAGGGGCAATCCCAGCCGGAAAAATTGCTGCGGATCTCCGCCTTAATTCTTGAAGCATGGGTCTGGGCTTGGACCGTTTTCATACCGTTTTCATACCGTTTTTCATCCCCACTACAATATATAGGTTCTAAAATGGGTGGTGAATTCACCAATCCCCCAAAATGGGATCAACCACAACGGGTTTTTAAAGCCGAGTTTTGAGTGTGACTCAGATTTCCTTGTGGAGCCGATGGAGTTGGCTTTCTGAAGGTCACGAAGACCGAAGCGACTCGTTGGCCTTTGCTTCCTGTCCCCCACACCCAAAACCGGTTTTTGTTAGGACCCTGTACTAAAAGGCAAAGTATTTACCCTGGATAGCCAGGTTTTCTAAAAGGACCCTAAACAAAAAACTGTATCTTGAGTAGGAAGTATGTTGTATGTTCCCTGATCGTGTTGAAGGGAAGCTATCACTACTGGACGGTGTCCTTTTTTGTCCATGTTTAGTGGCCCCAAAAGGTGATCATCTTTCATTTCTGGGTGTCTAAAGGGCAACTGAGCAAGGGGCTGATTCTCCCCTGGTGCATGCAAAGGGAATCGATCACTCCTTGAGATATGTTCTCCTTTTTCCAGGGGGTGAGAAAGCAATCGGAAGTTGTATGCTATAGTTCTCCATTCACATAAAACAAAACAACAACAAGACAAAAGAAACACAAACGACATGTCTTTCGAGGGAAAGAATAGCAAAAACACAAAAAAAAAAAAAAAAAAAAAAACAACACCCCTTCTTTCGTGGCCCCACGAGCTGATCACCTTTGATCTCTGGACACTTGTAGGGCAACTGCGCAGATCCTGCCCGGTGGAGCTTCAACTCTGCCGGCCCATCAAGGTCCTTTTTACTCGCGGAGTCACGTGGAGTCTCCTTCTGACCACGAAAAAAGTTGGTCATTACCCCAGTTGCCCAGTATTCCGCCCCTTTTTCCAACAATAAATAGCTGCGGCCGCCTTCTTAATTCTTTACATGGCTCTGCGCAGACCATTTTTAGTACCGGGTTTTGATTATGGTCAACGTGGGGAAGTATGACATCTAAGTTTTGATCATGGTCAACGTGGGGACGCATGACATCTACGAAATTGACTTGGATGTGGGCCCAAAACAACATCACAAGAAAGAAGCCACGTGTTCAACATGATAAGTATAACATCTAAGAATTTGACTTGGTCATTATCCAAAAGTAAAGGGGGTCAACCTCATTTGTGTTTAAAGGTCATGGATGCTCCACAAGTTTCTAGCTACAAGCTTGGGAATGATTGAATGTGCAAATTCAGTTGCCGCCGAGCATGGCGCCTGCATATCGGCAAGGTATGCAGAGCCCCGAATGAATTGCAGAAAAGCTGAAACATTTGTGGAAGGGCATGCCCCTTCAAAAACGACCAACACAAAGGGTCCAGTTATGTTTTGGAGGGACCCATCCCCTTTAAAATGAGCAAGCCCAAGAAGAGAGTCCTGGGTTTCCCCCAAATACCATTTTTTTTTCAGGACCGTTTTTTTTTGTCTCCTGAGAGCCTTTTCAATCCCACACGAAAAGGGGTTCCCGCGTTCTGTTCCATGGACAATTTCATTTAGACCCTTAGCTGGTGGTTTGGATTGGAACTCCTGGTTCTTGTAGAAATGGGCACGCCCTCCTTAACCACCACCAAGCCACCAATTCAACTACCTCGAGTCTCCATGACCCTTAAAACATGGTTGGTCACTACCCAAAAGAATGGTCGGTCATTGGCCCATTTTTATTTCGGGTCAGAAGGAGACTCCAGGTAGAGAAAGGCTGATCCAGCGGCACCTCGCCTCAGGCCTTCGACTTGCTGGACGCCTTGTCGCGCTCGGGCGCAATGACCCTGGATCAGACCTCCCTCCACGTGGTGCTCGCGGCCCCTCGAGTCGCAAGCCGAATTCCGGTAGCATGGGATCCCTATTCATAAACAGGGTTCTTTTGAAGCCGGGGTAAAATTTAGGTATATACCCCCAGGCGATGCCACGGATCCATGGAAGCTCCCACCCCTTTGGAAGACTTGGCTCCATGGATATAAGTCTCCTTAGTGGGTTAAAACTAGGCTTACTAACCACGTACTAAGCAACGTGTTGAGACTTCCTCTTTTCTTTTTGCGGCGAAAGAAAACCAAAAGAAACCTGACAAAGACAATGTTGACCCCAGATGAATCAACCAACCAGTTTACTGTAAACGCTGCGCGTTGCCCGCGCAGCGTCTGTGGTTCGACTGCAAGCAGCAGAGCTGGTCAAGTGGCGATTCAGGCAAGCACAGGTTCTGGCGTCGTAGGACCAATTGATGTCATGGGCCCGCAGGAATCAGCGAGGCAAAGGCGATGCACAGGGCGAGCTGGGCTGGTCCTTGGGTTGGTTGGTGGGCTGGGGCTGGGATGCGCCTTCCTTGCTTGGGTGGTTGCTGGTTGGGCTGGGCCTGAGGCGAGTCTCAGACCTGGGCCCGAGGGCCGGGCTCGGGTTGAGACAAGGCTGGTTTGTCTGACGTGTCCCTTGCTTGGGTGGGTTGCTGGTTGGGCTGGGCGTGTGGGCGGATTGCTGGTTGGGCAAGTCTCAAATTGAAATGTGGGGGTTCATCACTTCTGGAAGCATCAGGTACCCCCAGCCGATGCATGGAAGCTTCCACCCCTTTGCAAGACTTGATTCCATTTGAAGAGGGTTCCCAGCCTCCAAACCTATGTCGTTTCTGGGAGAGGGGGGGCGCCTCAAGTTCCATTTCTAGCAATTAATAGAGTTGCGTGAAACGGACCTTTGTCACTTTTTGGCGCTGGACCCTGGCCTTGCATTGGTTTCCCCCAGCCTGAAGGCTATAAGGACCCTAATTCACGCCTCAAGCACTCAAGTAGGTTGCACTTGGATCCTCAGGGATCGGTTGGGTCGGGGGTCTCTCTCAATCATACTGCATGTTTGATGATAGACTAAATATGGAACAGAGCCAGGTTTGTCCTAAAAAACATGTGTTGTGTTGACCAGTTTTTTGGTTCGGGGGGCCCTGTTCCAAATCACTTTAAGGGATGAATCAACAGCTTGCACCTCGGATCGGACACTCGGACGTATCCCAGACCGAAAGTAACAACTGATTTATTAAGACATACTTCAAACATAGGGCAGGTTAGTAAGTGCTTAGGCGCTTGGGTTATAGCCCCCTGAGAACAAGTTTAACCGAACTGTTATCACCTAGGTCACCAAGAACTTGCGACTTAGATGTTCTGGGCCGAATCGCTAAATGGTGAATAATCCTGGGTTTCTCAGGAACCTACTTTGCCATGATGGTAAATGGGTGACAACTATCAAAGCTGATTGGAAGGTGTTGTTGGACCTCACCATCTTGGGCCTTTTCAAAGACGCCTGGAAGCACTTGAAAATGGCAGGAATCAAACATGGGATGATTGACAGAGGCCCCGATGTTTGACACATACCCCCTTGTTACCACGCTGGAAAGGCGACCCACTGCTTCGACGAGACCGTGATCGATACCGCGGTGAAGCAGAACGACAACCCCATCGAGAAGCTGGAGCGACGCCAGACCTTGACCGGGGCTGGGGAGCCCCCTTTCAAGTGTCCCACTCTTTGGTCAAACGCACGTTTTTTGTAGAAGGTAGCCCATTTTGTGGTCTTCAAAGCAAATGAAAAACCACAACTGTTGCCCCCGTGGTGTTTTTTCTTCCTTTTCATGTACCGTTGTTTTGGTGATTTTAAAGGGAAACCAAAAGAAACACTACAATTGTTGCCCCCCCCCCAGACAAAAGACACACACCATACCCAGCCCCCCAAACAAATACCAAACAGAGACCTGCAGAAAGTTTCAACAAGATCAAAGCCGGGATCGAAGAGTTTGGGTGTCTGTGTCTATGTAGTGTGTTACCCACTGCAACTTGAATCGCTTCTTGCATTTTTTCTATTGTTGCCATCGGATTAACTCGGAGGCCATCGGAGGACCCTAATAATCAGAGGGCCCCCAACAAATAGATAAATTACTTAGTACAAGCGGAACGGAACCACATCCAGTTGTGCGTGTTTCTCCGTTCCTTTTGAGGGGGTGTCCTCTGTTCCCGTGGCCAACGGGGACCAGACCTTTATAGCTTTTGGTTTTCCTCTTCTTGACTGCTATTGGGTTGGATCTACAGACTTTGTTTTTTTGGGAAATCAAGGGGTTTTCTACTAAACCCCAAAAAGTTAAACCTTTCGCAGGGGGGTCAACAGCAACCAAGTCTATCGGTCCATTTTTAGTCATGCCCCAAAAGATTCTCCTCTGATTTGTGGCTCCTTTGGGCGACTGGTTCAGAGTTCACCCCTTCGGCCGACAGCTGAAGAAAAAGCAGTGCTCCCAGCATTTGTTGCGAGCCCTTGCTAATTCTTCCCTCTCAGTTGCCCAAAGCGAATCCACCTTTTGACCTTTTGGCTCTGTCCCCCTCTTGGCAACCACTTTTAGTCATGGGCAGGGTTGTGGGATCAAGGGGTTTATCCCCACTTCTGTGATACAAGCTGGAATCTCCCTTCCCGCCCTGGTCATGGCCCCATGGTCAATTCGCTTTGTATCTCCAGGTCCTTTGGGCCAGCAAGCCCCTATTCGAGTGAACATGTCCTTTCGTGCCGCGAGAGAGCAGCCGCCTTTTTGGCAACGACTCTTAGTTATGGGCCCAAAAGGTCATGTGAACTTGTTTGATTCCTTACCTCTTAAAACACAACTTTTCAACTTTTTGGGTAACCTGTTCTATATGTCTGTAAAACATTAACTTCCCCAGGGCTTGGAGTTTTAAGGGGTAAAACCCATTGTCGCAAGTAGGCCCTAGATTCAAGGGACGGCTTCTCTCAGATCCGAGGATCGATGCTGATCGTGGCTTCCACCATTCACCGGAAGGCCCCGTCCCTTCTCTTGCGGCCGCCCGAAGTGGAGCGGATTCGCGCCTCAGCATGGGGCTCTGCGCCGAATTGCCCAGACACTTCCTATCTGGTAAATGCAGATAGAAAAAGAAGAGGCTGAATGAAGCGGAGGTGTTCTTCCTTTGAAAAAGTGGTTCAATCCTAGGGCCCCCAGCTAGGTGCCCCTTTTACCGTTTCTTTTTTGGTTGGGAGGTTTCCCCTACTCAAATAGAACACGGAAAAAGTTGGTACCCTTTATTCTAACCTCTCAAATCTGGAGGACCTAGAATCTTGTTGAGGTTCCATGTTGATTAGAGAGCTGGGAGCTGTTGGCCAATTCGTAAGGGAGACCTTTGGTGCATTTTGCCAAGGGATGTTTGGACTTTAACCTTTTGCCAACTAATGGGTTTTCCATGAAACCACTAAAAGTTAAACTTTTAGCAGGGGAGCATAACGCCCGTTTCTAGTGTGGGGCCGCTTGCAGATGGAGATGGTTCCTACTTAAAGGGGCGATCGGGTACTTGGTCGGCTTGGTTGAAACCCGCTGAACGGAGACCTATGTCTCTTGTAAGTGGGTTTCACAGAATAGTTCTACAGGAACTTCTACAGGAAATTATATTTGCTCAGACTGGGCTTATCCAAGCCAAGACTGGGCTTATCCAAGGCTTATCCAAGGCTTATCCAAGGCTTATCCAAGGCTTCTCCAAGGCTTATCCAAGCTTAGAAGTCATCAAAATCGGGTCTCAAAAGGGCTTGTCCAGGAACGGGCCCTTAAACATGCCCAAATCCCCTTGAAAACGGCTTAGGCCGGATTCCCAAAACCTTCCCAATTTAACTTCCTGGACAATATCCTGGAGACTGTTTCTTTGAGGGTTATAACCCCTGGCTTTTCCCCATTTACTAAGTACCCTGCCCCTTGAAGTACCCTAACCCAGTGGATACCTTCGTACCTAAAACACGGGCTTGCCGCCTTTTATATCAAGCAAAGAGCGAAGGGTGACCCAAAATAGGTGGGCAAAGCACGCCTGGGATCCGCGTCAGGGTCCTGATGGAAGATGGGGCGGGCCCCCAGGTTTTGCATCATGTGGTTTTCTCCTGGTTGCCTATTTTCCCATCATGGTTTTATCATGTTTTTTGTTTTGTTCCCTAGTAGCATCAATCTTTGTCATGTTTTTCCCTAGTAGCCAACATTTGTTTTATCATGCCAGTTGTTTTCCCTAGTTGCAACTGGAAGCACTGGTCATGATAAAGATGGTTGCTACTATGGGTCCAATCGAATATGGAGCCCCGAAAAATTGGTCTTTTGACATACAGCTACAGCTACCTTTGAAGAACAAAAGGCAAATTGCTGGGAGGTGCAACTGGGATCTACTGGAGTGGGTGGCCTGAGATTGTAGCGTCTGAACAAAGCACGGAATGGCGTTCTGGGGCGCTTTAAAACCAACTTGGAAGCTCCTACTGGATGTTCTGGAACTAGCTAAATGGTTAGTTATAATCCTGGTTTTTGTCGGGGACTTACTTTACCAGGGTAAATGGGTTACAACTAGGGCAAAGCTAACCACGTGATTGGTTCCAGGCTATCTAAGTAGGATTCTGAGGGTAGCTTCCCCGTTCTTTCCAGGGATCCTTTTCTAGAAAACCACCCAAACAATTCGGGAAAACAGCGATGGGTTTTTGAAAAGAACGATGGTTGAAAAGAATGGAAAAGGAATCAACCCCTAGGATGGGTTTCGCCCTAGGGGCTTCCAGGCTACGCCCTAGGCTCGCTGTCCCCCGCTCTCTTCGAGCCCTCGGCGCAAAAGAAGCTGTTCTGAGCGCTGAGCTGAGCCGTTTGTACAGAGCCAGTGAAGTGATTGGTTGCGTGAATGAGCTGTTCCAGATACTTCATGAGTTCCAGAAATATTTCGTTGTACCTGTCAGTGCACTCTTTTCGTCAAGCCCTAAAGTTTTCTGATTTTTGGACAGCCTGTGTTTAAGCTTCCCAAAAAAGGACACGACACGGAGATGGCCCCCTATTGACCACTCAGATGTTGTGATACTGTGGACGGACAAAACCCTGCACCACCTAGGAAAATGCCAACAAACAAAAATGTTTTGGTTTCAATCTGGTGCGATATGGATTTTGTCCATCCACAGTATTGCACCCCAAATTCATCGTCGGTGGCTTTCCTCTTTCTCAGGGCAGTTTCTTCGGTTTCAAAGTGGTATGTCCGATTTGGAGACTTAGCCAAGAGGTTCCCGGCAGTCGCGCGTGATCGCGCGATCGCGCCTGTGATACGCTTGCTGTGCAGACGCCAGGCTGTAGGAACGGGCTGCGGATTGATCGCTGACGCCGGGAGCAAAGCACGATGGTTCTGGGCGAATCGCAAGCATTGCTCAGGGAACCTCCAGTGGACTTGTTGTTTTTTTTGTTTTGTTTGTTGGGGGGGAGGATTGGTGGTTTGGAGATTTGAACCCCCTGTTTCTTGTAGAGTCTGCAGGGTAACTGCAAGCAAGCAACCTCCACAAACTGTCTCAATGTGAGGGCTAATGTTGGAGAGTGATTAATAAAGGGGCCCCCCCCTCCCCCCCGTCAATAGCGAAAACCCCAAAAACAAAATGGGGGTCAGACTGGGACCTGCCTAAGTAGTTTTCCAGTAAGTGTTGTTTAGAATTGGTTTAGTATTGGTTTAGTATTCCTTTGAGCTGGCTCACTACGGTTTAGAATTGATTTAGTATTAGTTCATTATTCTTTTCAGTTGACTCACTACAGTTTAGAATTGGTTTAGTATTGGTTCTTCTTCTTGGCAGGCTGCCCTGGCCATTTTTTTCACAATTCCCTACCCTTAAACAAACTGCATTATTGCCTTCCTGGGGTTCCGTGTACCACCCCCTTGAAAATTTGTCAGGGTGCATCTTCTAGTAAAGGAATTGATAAGGAATTTGGTGGTTTGGGACAGGAAGCAATCCAGAAATTCTGGACATTTCTGGCTGGACTCAATCGTTTCAACCCTCAAAAATAGTCTATTCTTGGAAGGGAACATATTTTCGGGATTTCGGGCAGATGTGTTTTCTGTAATACCTACCCTTTTTGCTTTTCAAGGGAGTGAATAATGTTGATATATTTTGTCTGTATTCACTCCCATTTTATTAATCGCTATCTAACATTACCCTCCAAGTTGTTCAAGCCCCTTTTGATTCCTTAAGTACATCCTCAGGAGGTATGTGGAGCACCTGCTGCCATTCTATCCTATGGAAAATGATCCCGTAGCCTTTGTTTGACCACGGGGCATGCCTTACAAGGGCCAACATTTGTGGGGGATCGGCCCATGGCAGAGCGGCCGGCAGTTCCAGTGAGTCTATGCAGAGGTCTGAAGTTGATGTGGTGGGCGTGTCCTTTTTAAGGGACCCCCCCCCAACATGGTGGGTTTCCTTTTGGTGTCCCTTGAACACCAATCCAAAAGGGCGTACCCTCAACAGAAGACACACCCAAATAGGGTCCTCTGCATGTTGTGGAGCTTGCCAGCCTTGTTACTTCAACCCCTATTTATGAAGGGGCAAGGTGTCCAAGTGTACTGGCCAAATTTACAACCTCATCAATGCATTTTCCTTGCGCAGAGATTCCTTATACTAGGTGTGCTTACAGCATTACAGGCCCTGCTCTCCCAAGTGTAATTTGAGTCTCCCAGGAGCAATATGGACGCTGAAAAAAGTTTTGTCAAATTACCACGTCCTTTGTTTTGCGCTTTCAAGTGGGGCTTTTCTCCACTTCGATACGTGTAGGCCAGTTAGACATCATTTTTGCCGGGTGATTCAAAGGATGCTCTTGCAACGCCTTGGTGGTTGGAGGTATCCTGTAAAGTATCCTTTTTCTGGTCAACATCGCACTGGATGCTTGGATGTTCAACCAATGTCAGGGAAGCAGGTAGAATCCACGGTTACAACTGGTGTAACTGGGTTGTGTGTTCCCTTATAACCAGGGTTATGGTTTACATACCCTGACGTCAGCAGAAGAACCACCTACTTTTTTTTTGGGTTTCCTCAATTTCCCTTCTTGGAACGTTGAAAAGTGGCGATCGTTTGAAGGGAAAGAAACTACCCGTCAGTTGATTTTGATTTAAATCCAGCTTTGCCCCCTGAGATGGGTGCGTCTCAAAGTAGGCATCGGGCCCTGAAACATGGTTTTAGCATCCAAGTGTTCCATCCGAGCCTGCAGGAAGTTGATGGATTACCCGGACAGCAGCACTAGTGTGGCTGGGCTGAGAAGCGGGCTTGCCCGGCTGGCATGTAGCCCAGGTTTGGGCCAGTCAACTTGAAGTTCTCACTCCTGGATGGTCGCGAATTGCATTTGAGTCACAATCAAAACCCCGGTAAGTGGAGGGTAAGGGGCAACCCCAGCCATAAATGGGTGCGGATATCCGCCTTTTCAATTCTTCACATTGTTCTGGGTAGACCATTTCCATGCCGGGTTTTGATTGTGACTCATTTGGGGGTTGATCAATATTCCCTTCGACCCCCAAATGGCCATAAATGGCCATGGGTAACTTTTCCCATGCGGGTGAAATATCAATTTTGTAGCGATTTTCCTCAATGGTCATCCCATGTAAATGACCTTTGGATCAACCCCCTTTCGCACCAGGAAATGAATCCGTGGCTGAAACCATAGTATTTTCCAGGGATTCTGAACGGTGGTGCGAAATGGATTTCATCCATCAACAGAAAGGAGTGAGAACATGTGAATACCGTCACAAACGCTATGGTTTCAACCATGGCTTTAAAGGCTTGGTGGTGCAGGAAAGTGTCCATCAACTGAACTCATACTGTTACTTGCTGGGAAGACACGTTTTGGTGCCGAACAACAAGTCCAGCTGTGTGTTGGCCAATCCACTCAGGAAGTGAGCATTTGATTACACCACCTCCGTCAGGTTTTCCGTTCAAGGGGATCGAGTCTACCCAGGTACTGCCATTGAGGTGTGCTGTAGAATTGGACCCAAGCTTGTATTTGTACTGGTGCTCCAAGGGGAAGTGTAAATGACGGGGAATTGGTACCAGCCCCTCTTTCAATGGCAAATCCCCGAAACGGGATTTGGCTTTCCTATTTGCCTTGAACGGATCTTTAATGTATTCTACAAGGGTTTGCATCACCAAAGATGGTTCCAATTCTGATTCTGCCGCACGGGGCTCCCGGGCTGCGAGTGTCGGAAATCCGATGGCTGCAGCTGGCGTACTTCCCTGCACATGAAGGGAAAGAGCCCAAAGACGGTGTGCCTCAAAAGAAGATCGCTCTAAACAGCTTTGTTGCATTTGCTTGCATGTTAGGACTTTAACTTTTTGCCAACTTATTGGTTTTCCATTAAACCACTAAAAGTTAAACTTTTGGCGGGGGAGCAGAAAGCAACCGAGACAGCATGTCGTTTGTTGGATTCCAGGTTTAGCCGGGAGTACGACAGAGCAAGCAGCGGGCTGTTTAATAGGCATGAATGATCTATAATCATGAAGTCGGTCTTTGGTCTCAGATGTGAGGCTCGAACTGCTGTTGTGATACACAAGCTCCCCAGATAGTAATCAGGGGGGGTTTCCCTGGAAGAAAGGATTCCCCACCCCCCTGAACAATAAGTGAGCATTCAAATGGGCCCCCTTCATCTCTTGACCGATTGCGCAGAGCCTTTTTTTGTTTCGCCATGGACATCTGCCTCTTGATGAGAGAGTTCTCTTCTGATGTCAGGGTCGTCCCAAGGGCATTAGGCAACTGTTTGCTTGAACACTGCTTCAAAACCCCTGATCTTGACTTAGCTCTACCTCAAAGCCAAAACCCCGCTCTACTGGACCCACTTTCTGAGTTCCTGGACTTTGTACTTTTGAAGATCATGGTGGCGCTATATAACAAGCTCGGATTTGTTTGCCCATCCACTGAAGCGAGCATCAGGCAATAGGTGATACGTGTTCCCTTTGGGTATTTCCGCCATTTTTTCGCCGCTTGTTGGGTGAGGCCTATGTGGTGCAAGCCGGGGTCATGAGCATCATCGTCCTGTCCACGGTTCTCGCCGCTGGGAAGCCCGAGTATCGAGCAAGAAGGTGGCCGAGTCCTTTCGGACTCCATATGCCTTGACGGCTTTGCTGGAGGTACTGCAAATATTTCGCACTATCTAAGAAACCCTGGTTTCTGATCCGATTTCCTTGCACATACCCACAAATACTGGTTTCCCATGGTTTCAAAGTGGTGCAGGATTTCGTCCATCCACAGTATGATGGTGTGTATGTTCTACCCTTGCCCAAGTTGCTGTGACGCAGGAACCGGGATGACCCGAAGGACTCTCCGGTTTCATGCTAGGCGTTTTCTAGCCGTTTGTGTAACTACGTCTTGCGACCTTACCTAAAGTTGTTTTCATACGGAACATGTATTGTTGGTTGCTGTTTGTTCTTGCAATGTCCACAGTTGCATTCAGCCTTGTACAACTGGAGCATGAAGCCAACCTGCAATCGCATTCTGACTTGTTTGGGTTAAGGCCAAGTTGTTGCTTGTCCAACTGCCCCGTGATTAGGTGGGGCTTTCCTTACAGGCAGCAAGGCCTTTGTTCCTCACATCCCAGCCCTTCCTTCGTGCTTGCTTAAGGAACCGCGTAACTTGGACCTCCTGGGTTGAGGGGGTAGAGGGGGTTGGATGCCATATCAGCGGCTGTGCTGCTCGTGGGAAGTCGCTTCGATCAGTCAAAGGCCAGGTCTTTGTTCCCCGGAAGCTTCCGGTAGGACGTGTGGCCCAAGCGCTGAGTAAACAGGCGAAGCAACCGGTGCATCAAGATCTACCTTTCTTGGCGGTTCAAAGCCGTCCGGTTCC